CCCGCTTCTGCTTCGACCGGCCAGCAACTTGGCTGGCGGGGAGAAAGCCTCGCCAGGGAAGGAGGCGAGGACTCCGCGGTGACGTCATGGGGACGGCGCCCCCAGGTAGCGGCGAGCCGAATGCGCTGCGTCTCCACGGGCTACCAAGGCAGCCGGGCGGCCGGCCGGGGTGGGAGTGGGGTTTGGACCGGAGAGGCGGCTCTCGGGTTCGAGTCCCGGGGTTGATCTCAGGCTGCGCGTGTGGGTGAAGAGGCAGCAGCGATCATGGCCCCCGGCCGCTGCGCGGCCCGGTGCCAGGGACTCCACGGCCCAGCACCGGTCCGCGGACCGGGGGTTGGGGACCACTGCTCTACAGGGTTGCAGGACTACTTTCTCCAGAAGGATGTCTATAATAAGAACAAGGATATTTTTCAATAGAGGGTGGCTCCCATCTCAGTTTCCCTGAAAGAAGGATTTTTAAAAAAAGAATTGGAGAAAGTGCCTACTGTATATGTTTTTATAATTCAGGATGACTACAGACAAAGATGCTAAGAAGCCTGAAAGCATCTGAAGATTAATTTCAGTTGGAGCTGCTTGCCTGCTTAACGTCAAGGCTAAATTTTAATTGCATTACTTAAGTCTCTCTTCTCTTCCCTTCCCTATTCAATGTCTCTTAATCTACCCCATTCAATTTTGCTTCCACTCCCTCTTTCCTTCCCAGTGAAGCAATTTCTTCTCTTCATTCATCACCAGCAGCAGAATATGTGTTACCTGTATGGTTTTGTGTGGTGTGTACATAAAGAGAGAATGGCTGATATATGCAGATAGGAATCAAACAATCTTATTTATAGACAAATGATTCAGCAGCTATTTACTTAATCAATATCTATATGTGCTGCTTCTTTCTGTTGTATATACACCGATACATGCTTTTCAAAATTTCTAGAAGTAACAGTATTATTTCCATTTTGGTTCATGGTTTCCACTTCAAAACTTTTTCTTTCATTTTAAAATAAAAATTATTTAGAAGCAGCCAGTTCTTATGATACCTAAAATCAAACTTTAATTTCTTGCCCAATAGGGCCCAAATATTTTCTGCTGCTACTAGAAACATCAGTAAATTCCTAGTTAGAATCAAGAAGTTTCTAAGACTTCCATGTTATCAATTAATAATATTCACAGTGAGGCAGTTGAACCAAGACATTTAGTTTCCATTCCAAATTATTATTGGTTAAGGAAAAAAACCCTATTTATATGCTTTGAAATCAGGAAATCTATAATCACCAGTTTTATATGAAAGCAGAAATGCTAGGCATTTGTTCTTTCTATGAAAATTAGTCAGTGACTGAGGTTTGGGTAAATATTTAAGAGAAATAATATATGCATTGCTTTCAAAATATCTCTTAGCTTAGAAGTCATATTTTGTTTCACCCCGTTTACTTTTTCCTATAAACTCAGGATTTTACAATTTATTTAAAAAATCTGAATGGGAATATACTCAGTTAAAATTATTGCTGTGCTCCTTGTTTTATCCTGATTTTTTTAACAAACTCGAAACTTTAGAACCCAGATAATTTTTATCTTCATTGAAGAAACTTTTTACAAAGGCTAAAATAACAATTTAGATCCAAAAACCAAGACTGTGGCTATATGTGAATAATATACAAATAAACTGGAATACAGAACTGAAATATCATAGAAATCAATGGCTTGTGTGTTAAGAAATGTTTGAATGTTTCTTATTGTTTAAAAATTTATTTAGTCCAGTAAAAAAAACATTTTCTGACATATTGGTCTCCTCAGCAGTTGGTTAAAAAAGGATGGCTGTCATTTATGTATGTGGAAAATATAATTAGTTTTGTAGAACATTATTATTATTTATTAAATTTATTGTCTGCCCATATTACCCTCAGGGTAACTCTGGGCATCTTACAATATTACTATATTTGCCTTGGGCATATCCATTATATATAATCCATAACAATTAATATTCTTTATTAATTAAAGATTAAAGCTACAGGGGACCAGGTAAATTTGGTTCAATTAAATGTATCAGCTCTCAGCCTTTGAGATGACTTTGTACTGTCAGAGAGGCAAGATCAGAAATATGATTTCCATAGTCTAGAGATCAGTGGTAGTCAACCTGGTCCCTACTGCCCACTAGTGGGCGTTCCAGCTTTCATGGTGGACGGTAGGGGTTTGCTGTAACTCCGCTTTATAAATTTTATAAAGTAAAGTTACTTCCCTACTTCATAAATCACCATTACTGTGGAACTGGTGGGCGGTTAGAAAATTTTACTACTGAGACACCAAAGTGGGCAGTAGGTATAAAAAGGTTGAATACCCCTGGTCTAGATTCTATTCACTGTTTTGTTTCTAAGTTACATATATTTTGTGATAATAGTTGAAATGAAATTCAGTGGTTGTTTGCAATTGTTATGTGTAACATATGTATTTGTATTGGTTTAAAAATTAAATGTTTTTAAAACATTTCTCACATACTCATGAGTATGATACAAACACATACTCGTATGAATATGCATATTCATACTAATATAATTATGTCGCGTGCAGAGACACGCACATGGGAGTGAGAAAATCCCAATGTGGAAATTTAAATGTCTGAAGAGTCACACTTACCCACAGAAATGGATAGTGGCCCAGGAACTATTTACCTTCCAGTATTTCTTCCTGATCTTTATCTTCTTTGACTATTGATCTATCATTTTCTGCTGTTGCTTTGGGATTTTCCACTGCAATTTCAGAATCAGGCAGGTCCGGGCCGTTTCCTTCTGCAGCATCAGGAAGTTTTTGCTCCTGCATGGTGCTCTTCTTCTGCTCTGATGTCCCACCAGAGCTGTCTAGAGAGTCTCCTGTGGGGCTGCTAGAGTGGACGGTAGACTTTGTGGGTCCATCTGCTTCTAGATGTCGCCTATACTGGAGCCAATTTTCCCCAAAACGATCCCGAACGTTGTCCATGCGCTCCATCTCTGCCTGATGTTGCTGAAATATATCTGTGAGAAGATAAAGCCAACCACTCCACATTTTGAAAACAGTTTCAGTGCACAGTCTATCTTGCAAGAGAAGTCCATAGTAATTTAAATCTCACCTTCCGAGAGAGGTTGAGTTCTGTACTCATGTTCTGTGTCACTGGGCTCAGAAATACTGGCCCTGCGAACTTTAATTCTCCCCTGTAACAAAACAAAGTTATAAGTAATAGCTAAAATTGACCCTCTCAAGCTCTTTACTTAAATGTTAAGTTATACTAACCTCACCAGATTTATGTCATACCTCTGAAAAGAAAGCTTTTTAGAAAGCATTTGGGATTCCAATCTGCTGTAGGGCTTTCAGCTCAAATAGTCACACTTTTAATGACTGGCTTCGCAACATTTCTACAACTCCCATAATTAAGGATCTTTTCATAATGTTGCATAAGTTATTACATTAATGTTAGGGCTTATTCAAAAAGAGTTGCTCCACTCTTACAATCACTGAACACACCGTACAAAAGCTCCCAGTGGAGAACAAAGGCTTCTTCTATCTTCTTCCTCACCACAACCAATCCTGCCAATTCCAAACCCTGAAGTATGTAAAATGGCAGAAGTACCTTCGTTCTCTTCCGAGATGATAGTATAGCAGATGTGCTGTCTTTAGGAGACTGGCTATCACTTTGGTCTGCAGCATAGGAACTTTCCAGGGCATTCCGGTTTATCATGATTCTCTCTGAGCCTGAAGGGCAGAGTGGTTGAGCAATGGCACGATTCAGGTTTGAGTGGTGCTGGGTGAAAAACAAACAAACCACAATAGGCTATAAATGGGTAAGAAGATCTTTTCCAAGGCTTTTTTTATTACTATTATTACTTTAGGGCAAAATGCCATCTTAGCAATTCTGAGGAGCTGCTTTGTATTACCATTAAAGTGAGAATCATCAGGCAAAAGGAAATGAAATAGAGTTTGCTTGAATGGACAAAAATATTATTGGTCTCTGCATATTCTATTATACAGTAATGAAAACACAGAATGAAACTACTTCAGATGAAAGGAGATTTTGGACCCACATTTTCACTGTAATACAAATCTGGAACATATACAGTTACGTAAGTGTTCCTACCTGTAAACTGGAGACAGACAAGGGTTCTTCATCAAGGAGGAACTGGCATTACAAAAAATTTGTATCAGTAAAATATTTACACGCTCATTTCTTTATTAAAATAAAACCTATCAAACCTACTTTCTACTTAAAGAATGGTTTAAAAATAGGAAATAAGACAGCAAATAAAAATATTTTCTAACACCAATATGTGGAAACTGTATGGTAATCACAAAAAAATAAAACATAGGAACAGAAGTAATGTCTTACATTTCTTCTCCTCTACATAATGCCATATAAATCCTTTTTTTTCCAGGAAGCCCACCAACTCCTGGATATGCAAAGCAGAATTGGTGCTAAATCTGTTTTGAGAAGTTAGTTAACCTCAATTACAGTTCTCAATTAAGGAATATACAAATTAAGCACCAGGGGCAAACTTGTTGCTCTAAACTGGAATATAATATTTTCTTTTCTAGGAGATTGCACTTATATTTTATATTTTTGGTCTTCAAAGACCAAGATATCTACATGTGGCCCTCATTTGACAACCACTCATTCAGTGACCATTCAAAGTTATGACAATAACTTGCAATTATGGTGCTGCAGCATCCCACAGTGCTGTGATCACCATTTGGGACCTCCACTGCCTGCTTCTGATAAGCAAAGTCAATAGGAAAGGCAGCAAGAGGTTGCAAATGGCAATCACGTGATCGTGGGACATTGCAACCGCATGGGATTTACCTAACAACAGCAACTGGGGCTGACAGAACTGCTATTGTAAGTTGGCACAATCATGATGCTGTGCTTCATGACTCTGGTGCTTAATGACAGAGGTCCCAATTCCAATTATCATTGGTAAGGAAGGACTACCTGTAGTGATACAATTTTCAGCCTTTTCTGTCTAATGGAAGATTTGGGGTATGTTACCACAATCACATTGTGCTATCACAATCACATTGATTTTGATAGCATGATCCTGCGGGACTCTGGGAGCAAACAGGCTTCCAATTCCTGTGGTACTTTATCCTGCTGCAATTTCCCTGTTATCCTGTGTTTTTAGGGGGTGAGGGGTGGGGGCTGGTGCCTTCAAGTCAGTTTTGAGTCTTGGCACCTGTCTGGAGAAGTCCCTGCAGTTTTCTTGGTAAGATTCCAGAAGTGCCTTGTCCTGCTCTCCTTCCTAAAGGAGAGTGGTAAGAGAGAGAGAGAGAGAGAGAGACTGGTCATCCAGCTGGGTTCATGCCTAAAATGGGACTAGATTTTGCAGTCTCCTGGTTTCGCACTACACCAAACTGGCTCTCATCCCAGTCCTAATACTTAATACCCACTTAATACTTACATATTTTGCTGTTGACTAATCACTTTAGTCCAATCTTTTAATTATTCATAAAAAGGTGATAACATTTCTGAATAAACACATGCTATGTGTCTGGCTGATACAATTTCATCTTATGGACTTATTAGCTCCTTTATTCCACCATACAGCTATGCTGCTTTACTGTATTAGGAATATATAAACCAATTGCTACCTAAACACAGAACTATTGGCAACTGTTTTAAACAGATGAAGTTACTTTTTCTTCATACTGTAATTCTAGAAACTGACAACACAGGTTGGATACTCACATTACAAGAAATAGCTCTAGGAGACAAATGCACTAGAGTAGCAAGCCGGTGATTTGGATGAAACCATAAAGGATTTCCTTCCAGATGCAACTTAGAGATGGGGGAAAAAAAGAACACTTATATTCACTGCCGCAGACATGCCCCTCTGATTCCATTTTTCTGGGATTTAAAAAACAGTGTGTTGCTATGTCTTTCCCAACATTTCTCAAGGTACCATGCATAAATCTCCTCCGCACCTGGGTTAGGCTAAGAGTTGACCACAGGCCAAGTTTCATGGCAAAATCTGAAGCAGGACGCTGGGCCCAACTTTCTCACTACTACAGTACCCTTGCTCACCCAAGAGTTAATTCATCCAATACTGAAATACTATGACCAATCAGTGCTCTGCAATTATTACTGACTAATCATATTTTCCAGATTCTGTACAGTTTTAAACAGCATTCACTCTGAGCCATTGTTACCCCTAATACTACGGAATAACAGTGAATACTCACTCTTCTCAAGTTATGCAACCAAGCCAATGGTGCTAAGGCAGAGTGTTCGAGCAACAAATTATAGGCAATATCTAGGTGCTGAAGATTTGACAGTTGTTCCACACCTGTGAAGAAGCAAGCAGAGTACGTACCATTAGACAGAAGCCAACCTTTTTTCAAACTGTGTTTCAATTCTCCAATCTAGTCCAATATTTTATGAAAGTTTTTAGCCCTTTCACTATATCCTTACCACTAATGTTGGCTAGGTGGTTGTATCGGAGAATTAGGCTCATCAGTTTAGCCCGACTATGTAGCCCAAGTTCAGGCACCTTAGGCAGGAAATTATATGCCACATTTAAATATTCCAGCTCCATTAGCACCTGCAGGGAGAAGATGATAAATTTCAGCATTACTGAGTCATATTCTTCTCCATTCTCTTTTTCAGACTGAAAGTAATTTCTCCTCAGTTCTTTGCAACCGTAACCATATGTCATTCTCTCAACAACAACAATAATTTTCCATTGCCTTCTTGTGCGATTTTTTTCTACTTTCCAGTTTAGCCCACTAGTATTTCCTTCTCAGCATAGCTCTGCTGATATTTCCTGTCCAAATATAAACCCAATATAAACCTTGCATAGCATTGTGAGATCAAAGGCTACATGCTGCCACTTACCATATTTTTCGGAGTATACGTCGCACCAAGGTTTTGAAGAGGCAAATTAAAAAAAAAGTAGGTAGGTAGGTAGAGGGATAGAGAGGGAGAGAAAGAAAGAGAAATATAGTAGATAGGTAGATAAAGGAATAGAGAGAGAAAACGAGAGAGAGAGAGAGAGTGAGTGAGTGAGAGAGAGAGAGAGAGAGAGAGAGAGAGAGAGAGAGAGTAATACAGTAGATAGGTAGGGAGAGAGAGTAGGTAGGTAGGTAGGTAGGTAGGAAGTAGGTAGGTAGAGGGATAGAGTGGGAGAGAAAGAAAGATAAATACGGTAGGTAGGTAGGTAGGTAAGTAAAAGGATAGAGAGAGAAATAGAGATAGATACATAAATACAATAGGTAGATAAGGAGAGAGAGTAGGTAGGTAGGTAGTGGGATAGAGAGAGAAAGAGAAAGAGAGAAACATAGTAGGTAGGTAGGGAGAGAGAGACTAGGTAGGTAGGTATTTGTTTCCAGGTGTATTTATCCATGTGCTGGAGAAGGAAATCGCTGACAAACCTTAAGACTTTGTTTCTGCTGGAACAGCACTTGATCAATATATTTCTCATCAGTTAAAGAGCTTTGCAAACCTCTGAAAAATGGCCCATTTTTCATGAAAACAGGCCCATTAATTTTCAAATAAAAGGTATGAATAGCCATGGGGGGGAGCTTGCAGAGTGCTCCTGGGGGCATGCCTCCCCCAAAGAGCAAAAAACAGCCCGTTTTTTGCAAAAATGGGCCTTTTTTGTCAAATAAATTGCATGCATAGCCTTATGGTGGCTTAGAGTGCTGCTGGGGGCTGGGGGGGCAAAAAACGGCCCATTTTTTGCTCATTTCTGCCCTCCCCAGCCTCCAGAAGCTCTCTGAAAGCCTTCATAAGGGTATGCACGGCCATTTTTGTGAAGGGGGAGGGGCTTCAGGAGGCAAAAAATGCTGTATTCGATAAATAAGACGCACCCAGATTTTCAGCCTCTTTTTTTAGGAAAAAAGGTGCATCTTATACTCTGAAAAATACGGTACCTGGCGCCTCATGAAAACACATCAAAAGTATTTCCCATCAGCTAGTTATATCTGATCAAGTGTTCATGAAAGCATAAAAGATTAAAGTCCTTGGCAGAACACTTTTTATCTTAAAATATTTAGATACTCTGCCAATGCTGCATATGACCTATCTCTGTTCTTAGCCAACTAGCACATGACAGCCACATGAGGCCCTTGGAAATAAGGAGGGCAGTAACTACACAGCAAGAAGATGCTGGTGGCCAAGGAGGACTGGCAGTTCTCCCATCCAAGAAGCATTTAGTGCAATTGCTAATTTGTTTCCTCATACTTTACAATTTCTTTATGAAGATACGGATTTTAAACACAGCAATTTAGTGTTTAGGGCAGACCCACTAAACCTGAAATACATTTGCTGTAACTCTTATCATAGGGAAGATTGTTTTGCATGGACTGCAGTCAACTCCTAAGATTATTTAAATCATCTCCAATCTGGGCTTTCTTCTAAATGTATTGGACCTCCTTTCTCATGCATGTCAGCCATGTTATAGTGTGTGTGTGTGTGTGTGTGTGTGTGTGTTTGTAAGAAGTGATACATAGGACCAGACATGCCTATCAAGAAAAAAATCAGGTAAGTTCATTAGAGGAAGGCAAAGCATTTTAAATACCATCCCCCCTGCAAACTTTTATTTATCTTGTAGTTATTGTTAGTTGTGAAGTTGTATCCGACCCATTGCGAACCCATGGACAATGTTCCTCCAGGCCTTCCTGTCCTCAACCATTCTCTGGAGTCCATTTAAGCTCACGCTTACTGCTTCGGTGACGTCCTCCAGCCACCTCATTCTCTGCCATTCCGTTCTTCTTTTGCCCTCAATCTTTCCCAGCATTAGGCTCCTCTCCAGTTAGTCCTTTCTTCTCATTAGGTGGCCAAAGTATTTGAGTTTCATCTTCAGTATTTGGCCTTCTAAAGAGCAGTCAGGGTTGATTTCCTATAGGACTGAGCGGTTTCATTGCCTTGCAGTCCAAGGGACTCATAGGAGTCTTCTCCAGCACCATAGTTCAAAGGCCTCAATTCTTTGGCGCCCAACTTTGGTTCAACTTTCACAGACATACATTGCAACTGGGAAAACCATAGCCTTGACTATAAACACTTTTGTTGGCAGGGTGATGTCTCTGCTTTTTAGTATGCTGTCTACATTTGCCCTAGCATTCCTCCCCAGGAGCAAGTATCTTTTAATTTCTTGGCTTATCTATTTATCTAGTTATATACTTGCAACAGCAAGTTAGGAAAAGTATATCCATCCTGTCCCTTAGGCCTAGAGATCTCTTGTACTTCACCAAAGATTTCAAAGCACTAAACCAACTGGGAATACAGATCAAAAGTAGCTTTCACCCAGAAAGAGTATGTAAAAGGTGGCAATCACATGACCCTGGGATGCTATAGGTATCATAAATACATGCCAGTTGCCAAGGACCCAAATTCTGATCATGTGACCGCAAGGATGCTGCAATGGTCAAAAGAACCATTTGTAAGTCACTTTTTTCAGCCTCACTGTAACTTCAAACAGTCGCTAAACAAATAGTTGTAAGTCAAGGACTACCTATTGAATGATGTGTCATTAGTGCACTCATAACAACCAACTGTTTTCATTCTCTAGAAATCCAAGTATGACAATCCCCACTTCATGTTGACTTTATATTCAAACAAGGAATTCAGAAATAGTCTTGATTCAAAGTTTCCTACAACAGATAAGTTATTAATCATGGCAGTCTACTTATTTTTTTCCGGGGCATCTGACTTGTTAATCACTGTTGGAACACTCTGTTGGTCAAGATGCAGCTGTGGCCTTATTTATCAAGACTTATGGACTATTCCTGTCTCCAACTACTAAGAGCAACATATCTAATTCTGTCAACTGGATTCTATAACCACTTACAAATTCAATTACTAGCATTCCTCTTCCTCCAGTATCTGTATAGTTCTATATTCAACTGAGATTTAAAGTCTTGGTATAATACTACTTTGGAATGGTAGCCTTAATTTTTCCAAAATTTTCCTAAATAATTTATTTTTGAACTTTATATTGTTTCTCCACTTTCTTGCTATAAATAATTAAAAACATTACTTAATGTATTACTTGAGCTTAAATATTGGCAGTAATATACTAAATGTAATACTTGAGCTTAAAATATTGGAAGTCATAGTGCAATTGCCCACCTTCACTAGAAAGGTGTAAAGAGGTTATAGCAAAATCCATAAACATCTATATTACTTGATTATTAGCATTCAGGAGTCAAGATAATAAATTTAACATTATGTGCATAAACATGACCTAGTGCAAAAAAAATCCCAAGACATAAAATTATCCATCCGTAAGTCACAAAGGGTACTAATAATATTATGGAGTGTCACAACAAGAAAGCCAATTGTTCCTTGAAATTTGTCTCCAATATTAAACTAAATTTGAATTTATTATAGGCCCCCACTCTTATGGGTAGGATGAATACTTAACCACTAGTAAATTACCATTATGGAAAAATTAAAAGCGTATTGTGGCACAAAAATTTCAAGATTTTATTTATCTATCAATATATTTTAAATGTTATAAACTTGAAATTAAAACTACCAAAGTGCCTTTTTGTAAGAAAATGAAAAATAATTACATACATTACTAGGATTGAATACCTATAATTCAGTGGTGGGTTTCAATTTCTTTTATTACCAGTTTGCTCATGAGTGTGCATAATACTTCTGCACATGCACAGAAGCGTCCAAGCAGGTGGGCGGGGCCTCCCGCTGCCACCACTACCTGTTCGCCCTGGTCAAACCAGCAGAAACCTACCTCTACTATAATTAAGTTAAAAAAAAGTAATAAAAATATTTAAAATAGCCTCTCACCCCAAAAATAAAAATAAACATTTTTAACTTTAAAAGATAAAATAGAAAGAAGCAAATCGAAAGGGGCAATGTTGTAACAGTCTATTTTCAGGATGCTAGAAGAACTCTATCTTTGGTATATATTTTACCTATTCAGAACTGTTATAACAAGGAAAATATAAGGAACTTCAAGAACTTTATAGAGCAGAAACACAGAAAATGGAGCATTAAGTGGAAATAAAATGTCACTAAAATTTCAAGGAAATGTGATGCTTTCTCTGATAACAGGTTTTTTTGCTTAAATGATGAAAAATACCATTTACTGTTAGCAGACTGTTGTCATTGGAGCTGTTAATTGGCATAGTTAACTTCAGAAAGGTAGCACTGAGCTCACTGCCAGATACTTACAGTCAGGTAGTGCTGGCAGTCCTGGATGAGATTATGACTAAGATCCAAAGCCTTCAGGACATTTAATAATTGCTTAATAGAGAGAAGAAAGAGAAAGAGTTTAATGATTACAAATAAACCAAATCCAAAGAACAAGTATCTAACACTGAAGATGGTAAATTACAGTACAATCATTCAAAAATCCCTCCTGTTCCATTTTCTGAGAAAGATAGTTAATAGATAAAAGACTATGGTATTAGACTACCATCAGATTGTGTGCTTATTTCTAGCAATTACCCTCTGTGCAATATTCCATTTTAAAAAGGATGCGATTTCACCAATTACTACACCTTACTTGCACAACAGTTGATCTAAAAACAATGAGACCATGGATTCTAGTCCTAATTTAGGCATGAAAAAACTGGCTAGGTGACTTTGGGCCAGTCTCTCTTTCTCAACCCAACTCAGTCACTCAGGTTGTTGTGAGGAAAATAGGAGAAGGAAGGAGTATTATATGATTGCTGCCTTCAGCTGTATAGGTGAAAAACCTCATACCAGTGAATCATCCAAGGTTGCAATAGAATTGTAGCTGAAGTTGGCTGTATGTAATTCCAGCCAAGGAAGTGCAGAACTAAGATCTCCACCACATGCAGAAAGGATCTCCTGTAAATAAAGACAATGGATAACATGATGATAACATTAGGGTGGCCACCTCAGCAACCTGCTTTTAAGTTTTTGCTTCAAGACTGAAAGACATTTCACACTAGGAAGCACTTTCAATATTCACGGGGAAAAAATATTGTGGTGGTTGAACATACTAGGTATAATGGACTCCTTACTGTCCATTAGCTCAGACATTCATAAAGAGGGGAGATTGTGAGAAAAAAGATTCATGATTGAACAGGAGTAGGAAACTATACTTTTTATATTATATTGTTATATTATTAACATAAAGCCTTTTTTCCAATCCCAGCAACTACACTACTGAAGTTTGATGGCAAACTGCCAAGAAATCAAACTGCAATTTGCAATGAGATTTTTGACAGAAAAGGCACTTTAATTCTTCAACATATCAGAATTCATACATTCCATAACAGTATCTTCATGTTATACAATGTATCTTCATGTTATATAGCTCTCAACAACTGTCACAACTTTGTTTTTACAAAAAGTGATCATAAATCACATTCTTGTAAAATAGCAATATACCATCTACAGAGTATGTAATTATATTTATTATTAAACTATACATGATATTATCTATGGAGATTCTCAGTCATCCAGGTCATGGTTGTCTCAAAGATGCCTTTTCAGGAGGCAACTGGACTTTCTGGTTTTTCTTTGAAGATGTTTCGCTTCTCATCCAAGCACTTACTCTGAGCCACTGCTACCCCTAATACTACGGAATAACGGTAAATACTCACTCTTCTCAAGTTATGCAACCAAGCCAATGGTGCTAAGGCAGAGTATTCCAGCAACTCTGGAAACTTCTTCAGATCCCCACCATCCAGTCAGATCTGAAAAAGCTTGGATGAGAAGCAAAACGTCTTCAAAGAAAAACCAGAAAATCCAGTTGCCTCTTGAAAAAAGCACCTTTGAGATGTACATGATATTCATTATAATTTATTGCCTTTCCCAAAAAGTATTTAAAAACCAGAATAGGACCAGATCAGATATAGGAATATACAATTTGTAGAGAAAGTTCACTGAATGAGGAGGAAATGACAGAGACTTAAGACCATTTTTTCCTTACTAAGAACTGTTTCTTGTGAGTTTAAAAGCTGCAGGAAGAAGCAATATTATTAAGGCCAAACAACAACAACAACAATCTCCCTCCCCTTTCGTCTATGTGAACTTCCGCTTCAAATCATAGTGTTCCATAAAACTCATCAGGAAAATATTAAAGCAGGTGCCTTATGACACTCTGTGCAAAATGCATATTTTTTGCCAACCATTATTTTCCTGATGGTACAAAAAAGTCCAATATGAAATATCACCACTCACTTCTAGAGAATTCACACATCTGGAACAGGTCAAAGCCTCTAACTGGGAATAAACAAACCTCAGGCCCTGAAGACAGTGCAGAGGAACACATCTCAACTAAAGGGAACAAAAAGAGAAGAGTGAACATAAAAAAAAAATCAATTGCAGGTTCAATAATCTTGTCCTGTATGCATATATATACATGGGGATATGTATTCTAGACAGAGTAAAGAAATGGTTTCTCTCCAGATGTTGCTGAACAACTGCCAGCATTCCACATCCATGTCCCTGCTAGTTATCAATTCTTAAAAGCTGTTCTGCAGCACGTTATATCGCGTTTCAGCTTTGTCTGCCTCTGGAACAGTAGAATCCTATTTATTTCATATGTATTTTTCCTTAATTCAAAAAATTCCACCTTGCAAAAATAGAGCTACAGTATGATTATACAATTTTGTGAGCTTTTTCGAGTCCTATCTTTCATGCTATTATGTAATTGTTATATCAAATTTAGAAAGACTCTTTTTACACTAAAATTCGTTTCCATATTTTGAAAAAAAAATTCAAATATTCTGGGGGGGAAAGACTTAAGTATGAAATATCCCACTATCCAGCTATCGATATATGCTTCGGAGAAGTACTGCTTTACTCCCAGAGATAATACCAAACCAAAACTTACTCCATACTTAAAAGGACTCTGTAGTAGTACTTGAAACTCACCTCTAAACGTCGCAATGATTTAAAGGGAGAAATCTTCACAGGAGCTGGTACAGAACATTCAGGAACAAATATGAGCTGAAAGAAACATAAAAAGTGACACCAACTATTAGCAAAGGTATCTAATATTGCAAGCTCATCTTATCCCCAAATAATATGCAGTTCTGTTGCACCCCAAGTATATAGTCGCTAGAGTTCCAGTGTTCTAATCTAGCTATATCTTGCATGCTGACTAATAAAGAGAGTACTAAAGCATACACTTCCATTGGGGGTTGCCTTTGCATGATAATTCTATCTAAGAATCTCAGAGAAGCAACAGTAGCTGATGTGGGAATCTGGGAAAATGGGGTTCATTTTCCCCATTTTGTTTTCTGGTTTTCCTCACTAAACCAAATTCAGGAAGATAAAGCTCAAAGAAAAAATGAATAGAAATGGGATGGCTGTAGATTTCTTTCATGATTTATTCATTACTCTTAGATTTCCAATAATACATTTAAAGCAGTCTTTTATGTAATATTAAACTACTTTATCATGCTATTCCTTAATGCTTTTTTTCATAAACTCCTAACCCATAATTCCTCAGAATAATTTTTACAATTACTCTTGCATAGGCCAAAAAATATACCTAAATTCTACATTCTGTTATGTGAAAGCCAAATCTAACAACTACTGTAGATAGCAGGCATAAGATACAACCTAGAAGGCCCTCAAACTCACTTTACAGGCAAAACAATTGCTATGACAAAGCAAACTCAGTGAAGAACAAAATGGAGCAAAGATTAATGTTTAAATAGAGATTTCAATGGCAATCTTCTCATGATAAAGTTATCATGAAGATATAAAGGCTGACTATACGCTGATCATTTAGCTAAAAATATTCCAGAGAATAGAAACTTGAAAAGGGGGTAGAGGCATGCAACAGATGCCATTATCATCACATCAAATAGTATATAGTAATAAATAGACATGAGGGCGTTAGATAATCATCACAGTATCTATTCCATGACAGGAGGGTGAGATACCACGTTCCCTTCTGCTTTGTTAAGGAGGTTTCAATTTTTTAAATAAGTGAACTCTCTATAACAATTCAAGCACACCTTTACTCAAGTGTCCACTATGCAAGCTTTGTATGTTCTCATACAGACCATATGTTGTAATGAATAGTTTCAAGACTTTATCTCATTTCTCATTTAAAGGTTAAAACTTGAATTTAGTTTCTTTAAATAGTAATACAGCTTTTCAATTAATTTCGTAATACACTAAATTACAGAGTGCCACAGCATAACTATCTCAAAATAGGAAGCATAGTTCAATCCATTCCTGTATATAATCCCCGTTCTTGCTAAATGTTTCAGGACTATCAAAGCCTGAATTTACAAAAAGATTACAAATCTTTTCCCTACTAGTAAAAAAAAAATGGGATGGTTTTATACACTTCCCTATGCAGCATCTCCAACCTTGAAAAACCCAAGACCAAGAGATACAATTAACATGTCAAAGAAAGGCTCAACTTCAGAATAATATAGTCTCTATTTTTATTCAGATCTCAAAAATAACATCTATCACTTTTTGTAATTTTTTAAAAAAATCCTCTTTCACACAAGTTATTCCTGGTAAAGTTAAAAAATATCAGGAGTCACATACAAGTCTGGTATTTAATGAAGAGTAATTCCCCACCCCTCCAAAGACTTGTCATTTTCCCGTGCTGAAAACAATTGCAGAAAGAAGAAAGACACTTTCCAGATTATACTACTAAAATATATCTGCAACTTCAGTAAATACATACACTCTTCAGTTTAAATCTTCTGGGAAGACAGCTGAGTTCTACAGAGCAGAATTGTAATACTGTACTACTGTTCAAAAACTCCAACTTAAATCAGATAACTCATATTCATCTAGCCTTCTTAAACACCATTAGATGTCTCTTCAGTTATCGTGAGGCTAAATTGCTAAACATTCACGCATATCAATTCCAGCATATCCCATATCCCCAATCTGCTTTTTGTCTGCTTGAACAGATGGCATGGATATACATTTGCAGCCAAGAGGAAGCTAGTTCCTTTGCCAATCGTTCACCACCTCCTCAGACTTATGCCAAGTAGACCTGGCAGAAACTGCTGTTGCCCACACAATAGTTTCTAGACAACAGAATAGAGAACACTCTAGACATATTGTAATTTCATCAGGAACATCATCAACTTCCATATTTTTTGTGAAATAATCCAACTTAAAGCAATTTCATTATTTTCTTATCAAGAGTTATATTGAGCACTATAAAATTAGTTTAATTAAGCACCACATACAATGGAGGACATTCTACGTTTATGCTGTTACGAAACAAAAATGCAGAACTATACATTCAGGAAACTAATATAACTACATACTACAGAAATACATTTAAAAAAAAATTAAAAATGCAGAAAAAGAAAAAAGGGGAAGAGAGAAAGAAAAATAGAAAAATAAACCTTACCCATCATCCTCAGCAAATATAATCTACATTAACAACTTATCACTATCTCTTAAAATGTAGTCAAACCCTTCCTCGTTCCATACCTTACCCCATTCTCTATAAGCCCATCTCTAAAACCTCGTATTTCCATATTAATCAGCAAAAGCCCAGTAAGAGTTACCAGAAATAACAACATAAATATTACAAATTATATCTATTGCAACCAATTTAAATCATTCCTTTCCATTTAAACAAATTTTTCCCCATTTCCACTTTCCAAATAATCAAAGTCCAATCCTAGTTAAAAAAAACAATTAATCATTACCAGAAATAACCATCACCATCCAGTCCTGTTTTTTTAAAAAAAAAACAAGTTAAAATAACAACCTATTATTTTCATCTTGATCAGACAAAGTATATATCCTTTCTTTCTCACCACAATCTTTAAAAGTCCAGAAAGTTCTAACATCCACCTTCTCAAAGTTTCTACATCTCTTTTCTCAAAATTCTTGTCATCATCTTTACCAAGCCCCCTTTATCATTCCAATGTGGCAACTCCAGCAATCTTTTAAAAATGCTCCTTAAAAAAGATTGTATGCAGCATGGTTCTCTGTAGACCTCACAAAGCTAGGGTCAGACTAGATAGACTAATAACCAAATTCACATTAGGAGCATTTCATAGGTTAATAATTAATTTCTCCCAACTTTGAATATTCAAGACTAAAGAACAGCCATAAAGAGCTTTATACTATCTAATCCAATTTACTCCTTAGCAACTTGCATTAGGGATCCTTCCCTTTTTCCACACATTTTTATTTAGATTTGCAATTTGTGATGCTTCTCAATGCTGAAAGAGGTTATGGAGACTTTAAATTTCAAAGTGTTTGAAACAAAATGTTTTATGTGAAAGCAAAGTTACCTTTTGAAGACTTTAACAGCACGGATACACATTTCTGAGTTGAGAAACTTGTTGAAAACAATTTGATGGCACATAATTCGTCAATCTAATATGTTGCTGAACTCTAACTTTCAGTGCACCTCAGCATTGGCTACGCAGGCAGGGGAAGGTTGAAAATTGCTGTTCAGCAATATCTAAAGACCTCATATTCTCTGTTATATCATAATTATATAGCAGAGTAGTAACATTCAGTTATATCAGAACAATCCAAATATCCAAATCCAAATGCAAGATATAAGCTATTTCCCAAAGCAGGCATCTAATACACAGAATTTCACATTTCAGGACACACCTTCAGTGAGAGAGTTTTTTGCAAGACATCAAAGAGAAACTGGGCTTGAAGAATAGCAGATGTTTCAGCAGGGTGTGATGAGAGTGCAATGAAGCCATGATTCTGATTTCGTGGCAGTAGGTACTGCTCAAAGATCTGATTGAGAATTTGAAGCGTGGAAGTGAACAAGGTCAAGGTGCTAGTACCATCCAGAATCAAGTCCCCTGATGAAAAAAAAACAAACGTTAAGAGATCAATGTATATTTACTGCACAGAATAACTGCATGAGGGAAAGGTCAATAATATATAGGTGGTCCTTGACTTACAACAGTTTACTCGGTGACCGTTCAAAGTACAACAGCACTGAAACAAGTGACTTACGACCATTTTCACACTTATGACCATTGCAGGATCCCCATGGTTACATGATTCACACTTTGATGGTTGACAACTAGTTTATATTTATGACAGTTGCAGTGTCCCAGGGTCATGTGATTATCTTTTGCAATCTTCCAACAAGCAAAATCAATGGAGAAGCCGGACTCACTTAACAAATGTAATAAGAACGGCAGCAATTCACTTAACAACCATGAAGTTGTGAAATGGAGCAAAACTCACTTAACAAATTTTTCACTTAGTAACATAAATACTGGGCTCAACTGTGATTGTAAGTCAAGGATTACCTGTAATGTTAAAGTATTATGATTGCCACCCTTAATGTAAGGAATGAAGCTAGCAAGGGAACAACTAGTGGTTATCGAGCCAGACAGAATAATTATGTAATCACATGGACTTTTAATGTAAGGAAGTTTCTGGATACTGAGTTGTGACTGTAAAGTACGTTTTACTGCAATATCTGGCCTGAAGTCTTACATTTAAAGGTATGGGATGCAAGCTATTGAGTCTTACTTCTACACACTCCACAGATTGATATATAAAGTATATTCCACTCTCCTGAACTACAACCGCCTTTTATATTTAAAGCACTAGATTCACTATAATAATATGAGGACTTTTCCCAGATTGCATAATATAAGCTAATCATAAAAAGTAGTTGGGCAATTTGTGTTTCATTTTGTTGCCCAAACACCAAACAGAACCTTCCTCAATGAAGAATGAACAAAAGCGAAAACTATACTGTATTTCTGGAGAAACTTATTTAACAGAATACAGGTAGTCCTCGACTTACAACTATTTGCTTAATGATGGTCTGGAATTACAACAGCCTCCAAAAGGGAGCTTTACAGCAAAATGTTGAACCACCATTCCTGTGGTCACATGATCACATTCTGGGTGCTTGGCAACCTGTGCAAATTTACAATCCGTTACCAAGCAGCCCACAATCATGTATTTGTCATTTACAATCTTCTCTGTTAGCTTCCACAGAAGGTCAATGGAGAAGTCAGCAGGGAAGGTTACAAGCTGCTGCTGCTTGCCAACAAGACTTCCTCTTATATCTGAGGGCTGAAAGAGATGCCTACCAGGGGAGCAGAACTCTTTCAGCATGGTGCAGAAATAGAGCACAAATCCTGAAGATTTGAGATCACCTCCTGCATCCTGCCAGAGGAGTTTCCTCCTCTCCGTGAAGGAGAGCTGAACTCCTTCAGTTAGATGCAGAAATAGAATGCAAATCCTCAAGATCTGAGCTCTGTTCCTGCACCCTGTTGGGGGATTCTCCCAGCTGTGCACAGAAGGGGAGTGAACTCTTTCAGCCAGCTGCTAAAGACAAGAGGAAACCAAAATCAAAGCAGAAAGTAGAGAAACAGTGTGGAAGTAAAGAGCAGAGTGTGGGCTGCCCCAAAACACCCAGCATATGCCATGCACAATGGTTCTTCACATGGACTGAAAATCCTACTCGGATTTTGGCAGGATGGATTTTCATCTTCTAAGCAAAGAGGCAGTACAGTAAAGAAAGTAGTACAGAATGTTTCAGAAGGATGGGACAGGTTGTCCACAAGTGTGTCTCCATTCAGGGACTGAAAATCTTGCTTGGATTTCATCAGACAGAATTTTCAAGTCCTGAGCAGATCCTTCCAGATCTCTCCCACCACCCAGAAGACACCCTATGTTCCTTATGTGAATCTCTATCCACCTAACAACCTACAAGTTTACTTGATGACCATAACCAGGAATGCCACACTTGCAGTCATTAAACAAAGCAGTCACATATCTCGCTTAATGACTGCTTTGCTCAGTGACAAGATTGTGATTGTAAGTCAAGGACAACCTTATACATGGGTAAAGCCTGGTCCTAATATTATCTTCCTTTAACCTAATATATGTATTATTTTATAGATAGGTAGATAGGTAGGTAGGTAGACAGGCAGGCAGGCAGGCAGGCAGGCAGGCAGGTAGGCAGGCAGGCAGATAGTTTGGATTATCTATTACAATTATGGACTGTGAGAAAGTACTCATAGAGTTTTGATAAATATACTAGCTATGGAAATTCAATTAAATTTTTTCTCCTATTTAAAACTCTGCTGCGCCTGAACCCCGAGCTTCAACATTCAACCAGTATTATTAGTTTGAGCAATCATTGCATAGACCCAAGTATAGCCATATTTATTTCCATTCCAAAGTAGAGCTTAAGTCCACTTTCCAAATATCTCAAAGAAAAGTTCTCCACATCATTAGAACCTCACCGGAATCCTGCAGCAACTGTGCTAGACTTTGAAGCATTATTTTTTTGGGCGGAGCAGGGGGTGCCATCTGCAAAGACAGGGGGGAGAGGGGAAGAAATAATGATAATTTCTTGAGAACCAGAAAGTTCAAGCCACATTTAGTTATCTCAACCCATGCTAATTCAAAATAAGGACTTTAACCCACACAACCATGTAAGCAGAGACTGATGAACCATAATCCCCTACCTGAGAGCCTCAAACGACAGTAAAGAAGTGATTGAAGCAAACCCCTCTGTTCAAATACTTGGTTTGAAGCTTAAACCAACCCAGGCAGGCTCAAAGGCCAATCCAGGCATTTCCTAGACCAAATGTTGCAATACTCACATGCAGGCGCGTGACAGCGACCATAATTATCCACCCTCCCCCTCTTAATTTAAGCAAGGGGCAGTAGTCTTCTTCCACTTGACCCCTCTAACAACCCTCAGCCACAAAAGGCCAGGGGAAAATTCTTCTTCTTCTTCTTCTATTTCTTTTGCTGTTTTACCTACCCTAGACAGGCCGCAGAGTACTGTAGAGTTCAGAAATTACCAGGTTCCCTCCCGTTCCATGACAGGAAAGGGAAGCTTGGCGCAGGAAAGACAAAGCAACCAGCACACGATACAGGCAACGCCAACCGGCCCGGAGGTAACCATGGTAACGCTCGCGTAGCCTCTCCACCACCTGGAGGGAGGGGAAAAAACCTTTAAAACTCGCCTTTGGAAACCGAAGCAACCCCACCGTCCCTAGAAAATAAGGTAGAGTCCTTCCTGGCTTCCGCACTACCATAGAGCACGTACAAAATTGTAGAGAGTATCCTCCGAGTTCCGCCAAACGGAGAGAGTCGGTCCCGCCTCTGTTCTTGTAAATTCGCCTTCATAGCTGCCCTGTGCCCTTCGACTTAGTCCGTGGTAACGGCGACCTCGGGTCTTTCCCGCTTACTTTCCCAATCCACTTTGTGAGTTTTCTCAAAGCCGTCAGACTCCCCGCCCGATCCCACCCCTTCTACACGAGGAATACCCAAAGCGCCTAATATTTCCAGGACAGAATCCGCCCTTAGGAATGCCTCCTAATACGCACGGGGCATCTGAATAGCAAGCAATATTCCGCTTTGCTGAAACCAACATAGTTTCTGGGTGTCTGTACACTTAAGCCTGGAACTGATTTTCACGGTTTAGCCCCCAAATACGTGGCGTAATATATTTAGGCATGTGTAGAGAATCTGGGAAGAACCAGTAAAAATGAATACAGGCAGTCCCCTCGAGTTACAACTACAATTGAGGTCAAAATTTATGTTGCTAAGTGAAACATTTGTTGAATGAGTTTGCCCCCATTTTATGCCTTTTTTTTTGCCACCCTTATTACCTGAATCATCCTAACTTGTTTAAGTTAGTAAAATGATTGTTAAATGGATCTGGCTTCCTCACTGACTTTGTCAGAAGGTCGTAAAAGATGATCACTTGAGCCCGGGACACAGCAGCCTCATAAATATGAGTTCAGTTACCAATCATCTGAATTTTGATCATGTGATCATACGGATGCTGCAATGATCTTAAGTGTGAAAAATAGTCATGTCACCTTTTTCAGTGCTGTTATAGCTTTGAACCGTCACTAAATGAACTGTTTTCAGTTGAAGACTACCTGTATATATACTGTGAACTGTGGAATCCTTGCAGTGCTTGCAAACAAACAACCAAATTCAGAGAGCACCATGGGCTGTATAACATTGGAAAAGGATTTTCAGGGCTTTCCAGGACAGTAAGTAGGGACTCTTGCATTTCAGATAGCTTGCTATGCTGCATAAATCCAACTATAAAATGGCTGCAGCAAAGTCTTTTTGAAAAAGCTGATTTATAATAGCCAGTCAAAACTATATTATAATTTATGTTATAAAAAGTATCACTTTTATTTAAATTTTTTGTAAACCACAATACTATAACTTTAATATTTACGACCATATTCATCTGTTCCTGTGTACTTCCCATTTTAATTTTGCTATTGTCTTCTGGATGTACACTATATGTCTGGGTAACCTGCAACTTTTTAGATGATGCAAAACTACACTTGTCCTTCATAAACCTCCAACATACTGCTCCTCAACATGTAGAGAGGGCCACTGCTGCCTTTGCACCATTTGAAAATAGTTGGTATTTAAACAGTTGGGGTGTTCAATTGCTTACTTAGAAATTGCTTGCTACATATATCAATAGAGTATGAAAACAATTGTGTATATTTATTACTCCACCAGAATTTGTAATTATAGCCACTAAATCTATCCACAGTCCATATTATCTAAATTATAAATCACAACAAGCAGAGAATGGTAAGAGCAGGAGTCCCGTATAAGTGGAGTCCCATATAATATAAAGCATTTAGTAAGCTTTAGGAAAAGGGATAAAAATGGGAAGAAGAAATAAACCCATTAACTCATGGAAAATGGATAATTTCTTGGTCCCTCAAGCATTTGGACGCTTCCTCGTGTGATTCTGCACTAATCTGGAAGCACACTTAGACTTCTATATTCTCATAATGCCAACAGTGCTGAGAAACTGAGCTAATTTATTCTGATTCAGTTGGTTTAGTTAGTTGAAACCCCTGGGAAACCAGTGGCTTTCTTTCTTCATTGAAAGATTCCCTATTTCTGTCTCCTGAGTTTCAGTTCTCTAAAAGAAATTCTAGCTTGACAGCTTTATAAGTTGTCCTTTGCAGCTCAGAACAAAAGGAGCAAGGTGAAATTGAGATGCGTTTTATCAGAAAACAAATTACAGTTTTCTGATCACTTCTGCTCTACATTAGCAGTCATGCAATTCTATTTTTTCTAAATGAGGGTTACTACAGAACATGCAGCAGCTCAGAACAAATAGTTATTTTCATTCCTTGTTACTAGCATCTCAAGCCTTGAATGACAGTCACTGATCTCCTTCAAACCACTTATGGAAGCATTATCTCAGGCTTCATTTCCACACTCTATTCTCTCCAAAGTAGTTTGAAAGTAACCCACCAGTGATCAGTCTCCTGACTTTAAGATGCTCATAACCAGTGATTTCTCTTCCCATGACCAATACCACAGGCAAAAAAATTACCATTCAGTTAGAACCTCTTACAAAGTAAAGTTCTAGAGCAACAATAACAAAAATCTCATTCCATCCTAAAAGGAAATATAGTTAATTTGTCAATTCTTTTGGAACATTGGTCTGGTACCTCTTCCCGCCTTCCACCACCACCACCCCAATCATTTTTTTATGGGTTGATGCTATCTGGCTATCACATGTTATTCTTCATTTTATTAAAAATCCACAGTGAAAGCTGTGAAAGTAGCCATTTTTCAACTAAGCATTGTCTCAATAGAGGACAAATTTGGTGTAGGGGTTCAGGCACTTGGTTACAAACAGAGAGACGGTGGGTTCCACCTTAGGCAAACCACTTCTAAATAAATAAAGAGAACTGCAAGATCTGATCCAGGCAAATACCAAGAGTCAATATTGACTTGAGGCACTACCCAAAAAAAATCCCTTTCCCAATGCTTCAAACTATTTTTTAGCAGTACTACAGTCTGAAACTATGGTTTCAGACTGTAGTACTGGAGGAAAAGAAACAACAAATTCTAAATCATACCTTTTAAACCAAAGTAAATTTTGGAAAAGGCACTTCTTCATTAATTGCAGGGTTCAATTCCACTGGAATATCCCACATCTTTTTACTCAATGCAAAAAGGAAAGTTTTTAAAAAAAATTCAGGCAGCTTAATGCTCTGCATGTTTTCACATCTCCAGTCAAAAAGAAACAGAAAGCAGACAAGTGCCTCTCACCTTGGCATACTTGTTAAAGGGCCTGTGATGGTTAAAACTAAGGAGTAAAGTAAAGTTCATCCTATGATATCTGCAGAGTTTAATAACTATATTTTAAAAAACCTCTGGGATTTACAGAAATCTTGAATTGCCTTGTACAGAGATGCCCTCCAAAGAATGAGACCAAGTTCAGTGTAGAGGTTAAGGTGCTGACCTAGAAACCTCAAGACTGAGTTCTAGTCCCATCTTAGATGTGAAAATTGCCTGAGTGACTTTGAGTCAGTCTTTCTCTTTCTCTCTCTCTTTCTCAGTCCAGCTCACCTCACAGGATGGTGGTTATGGGGAAAAAGAGGAGGAAGAGATATTATGTATGTCTGCTGCTTTGAATTACTCATAAAGCAATAAAGGTGTAATAAAATGTAATAAATAATAAATTAATTAAGGAATAAATGTAAAAGTAAAAACAGGTAGAAGTGCCCTTAGAATCTTTAATATGTGATTTGCTTCATTTGTTCCTAGAGAAAAATTCAGAGTCTTCATGTCAAGACTTTTCTTGTTAGATGGGTTATTATAAGGCACCAACAGTTGCTCCTGTCATTCCTGTTTATATCCTTTTGAGAAAATAGCTGAGAGTCAAATAACCGGCTCTAATTGCCAAGGGGGTAAAACTGCATTAATAATTAGATTTTAGCAAGAAAGACAAAACAAGTCTGCAAGAATGAAGGGTTGATTTGTTAATACAATTGATAATCAAAATACCTCTCTTCACTAACTTCTAACCTTGCTTCAGTATCATGTTAAAAGTAGAAGCTGCTTTAAATGTACACCTATGCATGTGAATGTTTTTACAATCTATCAACAAAAGATTCTATTGTTTACAATTATATGTCAGTATAATTCTTTTATTGGTTAACTATTTGTATTATAAATAAAACGGCGGTATATATTTACCGTAAATGCCACACATGTTATTACCCAGTAATCATTATTACAACAAACCTGAAAGTATTTTTATCCTTCATAGTACATGATGGGAGGGGACAGACTGAGATGTGCAATTAAAGGATTCTTAAGAGAAAGCAACAGTGACTTTGAAAATGGCTTAGCAAACATGATAGCTCTCAAGTCATATATGAATATCATACACTGAAATACAAGGCACATATAGCTATGTGAAACTGCTAGAATGCATGCAAGTATAAATGAGTGTGTGTTGGGTTACCCACCCATAAATTGCATCGGGTCAGCCCAGTACTATGCTAATTAGGCACAGTGATGCCAATGTCACTGTATCAGATAAGCTACTTGTGACCCTCCCTCCAACTTCCCTCGCTAGAATAGCCACTTGCTCAGCTGCTGTCTGCTTCTGCAAAAAAAAAAAAAAAACAGCTAGTGACTCATAGCCTTGCAGCTCACTACCACACAGAATTTCAAATAAAGGAGAGGAGCAGCCAATGTGCAGCTCGTCTCTAAGCAGAGCCAGTAGCAGTGGATGGCTGCCTGCAGTAGAAACGGAAAGCTGCTGCGCTGAAGAGGAGGTGGTGTCTTAGCACAGCCTGCTGCCCTACCTGAGCAGAGAAATGGACACATGTTGAGCGATCTTCAGCAGGAGGAAGGAGGACAAGAAAAAGGCAGTTGCAGCAGTGTGCGTTTTGTGGATCCCTGGCTGGAGGCAAGCCGCTCTCCTTCTCAGCAGCTGCAAGGTACTGTATATCACCTCTTTTCCTCCCCACCCCATTCCTGCCTCCCTCCCATTCTGATCCAGCATCTCCATTACCCTGATATTACCAGGTGCAAGGCAGAGATTTCCCCCATGGAGCAGAGCCCAGGTTTCCATGACAGGATCCATTTAGAAATCCTTTCCTTCTTGTCTCTGCCTTGTGGTATCAAGAGTACTTAGCCTCCAATCATCAGAGTGTCGAATTGTTTTGGGCAAGAAAAGGTATTCCAAGCATCTGGCAGACTAGTAGGTGGCAGAATTTAAGTATGCCATGTGATTGTTTAGGGAATGCAAGAGAGAGAAAAGGGGGTCTGAGGCACACACGTATGTGCACTCCCACCTCTTGGCAGAGCAAGTGTATGTACACTCCCACCTCTTGGCAGCATATGATCCAGTATATTTGGCATGCCAAAGGAAGTGCAAGTAGCATCCTGCTCATTAAGTCTGCAATCCTCTCACGAGAACCAGTGCAAGCCTTAGACAAGCAATCCCCCATCTCGTTTTTGCTCATAAAGCTTTTATCTGAGGTAAGATTCAGCTCTGGAAGCCGGTTTCAATGAAGGGCTCAGTGATAGAAAATGCAGTAACAAAGAATAGACTGTCTTTGAAGAGGTATGTTTGTATCTTCAACTCTGTTTATTCAGATTTAGTGACCAATGCTTCCATTTCAGAGGGTGTGGCTGTGGTGGGTGTGAGCTTTGGTACTACTCACAGAAAGCGATTCCTATTACTGTAATAAACCACGTATAAAAATTATCTCTCTCTTGTGCTTCTGTGAAAGATGTATGTCCATTTCCCATTGGGGTCAGTTCTCAATTTCAGATATACACAATGAGATTTTGAGCAAATTTTTTCTTGTCATGTTGCACATTCAGCCCCTCTCCTTTTTCCCTTTTGGCACCAACAACCTATAATTTGCAAGTGACGTCTGTCTCTAATCAAATCTGTCCTCTTCCTTCTATTGCTTTTCCTTGCTCGTTGCAATTGAAAAGCCAAAATTATGAACAGTGTTCCTATTATGTTGAGCAATGGATAACTACAAAATAAAAATATGTCCAAAGTGGTCTGTTAGACAAATAAGAATCAATAAAAAATATCAATTCATATGAGAGAATGATAAACTGCAAGCAAGACTAATAATGCCCCTAAGAATCAGTAATTATTCTACAAGTCTTTAAGTTACATTAATGATCCATCAGTAACAGCAATCTTTACAAGTGTTTGAATACTATACATAATGTTAATTAGCACATTTATTAATTGTCAGATCAATTACTGTATGTAGTAGAAGACTGCATATCAGAAACTCATCAGTTTAAGTCTGTACCTTAAATTCCTGGCATCTCCTGGTTGGGCTAGAAAAACCCATGCCTGCAACCTTGCAGGACTGTATTAGTCAATGTTGATAGTATTAAGATAGTTGACACCCCCCCGCCCCCGTTCCCAATAGGATAGCTCCTATATTTCTAAGCATCATTTCGTCAATTTTTGCTCTGCCACGAAAAAAGAGATAGTCCTATTTTAAAAAGAAGTTCCTAATCATCATCTACAAATCTTCATCTTATTAACAAACATACCTATGGCTACTCACAGAACCCTTTTGCCTCCTGATTTCATAGCTGTCCCTTTCCTGCTTCTTATGCTCTAGGGCAAGGCCACTATCTCAGGACATATGAATCTAGGATGGAGTTTCCAGAGATCTATGTGCTATTGTTAGTGATACTCTTCTAAGGCTCCTTTTTCCTATCTTCTGAATATCTGCAGTTCCACATATCCATCATGGAGAAAATTCCAATGATTAAATTGCTGCCATTGAGAACAGTTGCTATATGAACCTTAGATTGTGAACATGAGGTATAATATACTGGTAACAGATCTTTGCCTCCCAATCCTATTGATACACATCTCCACAAATTCCAACACTCCATAATGTGCTCCACCAATCTCTTGAGTATTCTTTCCTTTTCTTTCTTTGAGCTTGAACAGACTCTTCAAATGTCTCTTTTTTGCATGTTTTGGAAAAAAAAAATGTCTTAGGCTAGCATGTAGATGCCAATGAAGAAGTCTGAGAATGCTTTGGGGCCTGTGTACTCAAGTAGGATAAATCTATGTTATTAGTCATTTAATACATATATAGTTTAGGATGTCTCCACAAATATGAGATAAAAGCTTCCAAAAATAAAAAGAGAACACATTTTTTCTTCAATTTCCTTTCTCTGCTCTGCAGTTGTAAAAGGGTTAGATTTTAGCATTGCTTGCCGCACTTTAGGGAGCAGTGAATGTGGATATTGAAATGGAAAGGAAATATGATAGTGTTATTGAGTAGCATCTTCAGAATTTTTAAAGAAAGGAAGATTTGTCTGAGTTTCTAGAGACCTATTGTCATTCAGAATCAACAGAAGCAAACTTCAAAGAACTAAATTTGCATAATAGCAAAACTTCATATTTTAAAATATTAGAACTTTTGCAGTGCCTGCACAACACAGTACATGATTTCCTAATCTTATGAAAAATGTTGCTGTTAAATTGATGGAGATCTCTACTTTGACCTGTCAGAATACAACATTTGAATCTCAAGATTTGCTGTCTCAGCACATGAGAGAAAATGAGATTATAAGAAGGTGTTGGGAATGTGTTTATTTTTGACTAGAGGAGTGGTGCTATGTAAAAAAATAAAACAACCCCCCCCCCACTAAAGTTGTACTTTGAACATTATTATTCATTATAATATAAATGAATAGAAGACCAATCCTTAATTTAGGCTTTCAGGACTGCATTCACAAACTAGAATTGGCTGGACAAATTCAATCTTTCTGGAAAAAACAACTGGTAGTTTCCCACTTTTGGGAGGTTTGGCAGGCTTGAAGGCTCTGCTTTTCTGTAGCAGCGCCAGTTCTCTAGAATGGCCTTCCACTAAGTCTTAGACTAATCTAAGACTAATCTTGGAATAATCTGACATTAGCTACCTTGCAGAAACAGCTAAAAACAGAGCTCTTCCCGAGGACATTTGGGACTTCACACCTGTTTTTTGGGGGGAAGGGATTCATTTATATTTTTAAACTTTATTTTTTAAAATGGAACATGGGCATTGTAGTTGTTTGTGTATTCCTGTAAGGCACTGAAAGTCCTGTTGGAATATGGTGGGAGAAATGTAATAAATAAATTAATAAAAGTTTTCAGCTTAGTTCTAAGTTGCCCTCCCTTGGATGACTTATTAATATATTCTTCTAAAATGCCAGAACAAATAAGTCTTAATGTAGCACTTGAATGGTTGTAATATTTGTATGACTTGAATCTCTTAGAGGAGAATATTTCAGAACTGGGGTGCTTCCATTAATAGGCATTATTATTATTAGACAGTACAAGGTCAATAAATGACATCCTCAGACCAATCTCTCTAAAGTTTATGAAGCTTCTTTTAGCACTTCTTAGGTGGAAATGTACTTGGAAATTTTATAAATGAATAAAACTAAAAAATTGAATGCATTTTTAAAAATTAAAGTTAGCTATTGTAATATCATATAGAAAGCTGCATCGAAAGCTACATGTTGGTATCTGTGTGTTCATCAGCAACTGCGCTCCACTCAATAATTTTTACCTTTTAGAGCATTATAATAAAATATTATTGTTCTTCTAGATAATATTTATTACTGTCCAAGGGCAGTTTTTCTTGCCCAGGAAAGCTATTACTATCTTAATTTAAGCATAAGATTCTTCATGCAATCCAGGACTTGCGTGTGTATATTTAATAATTCCTATATAAATAAAGTGTCACTTTTAAATGAGCTGATTGCATGGCCTTTTTAGGAACTCTAAATTATTTCTGGTTCACATCAGTAATTTAAAAATCAAAAATGTATATATAATTAATTTTAGTTAAGATTGTATTTGGTTATTTGGAAAATCTTTACAATCATTTTAATGTCTCCATTTGTATCAAACAATTCCATTGCTATGGGTCCAGTTGTTATTTCTTCTAAAGAAAATAATAAATTTTGTTTCTTCTGGAGAAAACTCTCTGAAGTTATTAATTGGCCTTATCTAATTAACCTTTGGAGATATAAAACAAAAAGAGATCAGCAACTGCTCTTGAAACAGATCATTTAAGAAATTAAATTTAGCCCAGGGAAGGGCGGGGATACTTTCACAAGTCCTTTTTAAATCAAAGATAAAGCAGTTCTGTATACTGTCCAACTATTTTGAAGAACAAACGGAAAATCCAAGACAGCTATTCAGAAACTAGTTGCTGCTCTATGAGATCCAGTGGCTACATAAGGATTACACAAATAGAGAGATTACTCAACTGTTCCTCTGATTAGTTATATTGTCATTGTATTTAAATACAACGAAAATGGCTGCTATTTAATTGTTGTATTATTTGTTCTGTTTGTTGTTTATTCTTTGCAAACATCTGTTGTGCGATCTCACTTTGTTTCACTCCCTAGTCTATTTCATTAACTCTCAGGATCATCCAGTGGACTTTCCCTTCCATTCCCCTCACTACTTCATGAAATTGGTGACTATGGTGGCACATGGCTTTCTGAATTATTAAATTATTGTTGTGCTATGCATTCTTTGTACATCCTAATAGTTAACCCGTATGCAATCTAAACCAAGTAAGTTGCTGAACTGTGGAGCGATATCCAGGTTTCTTTTCTGAGTGCTTATAATTAATTTAGAACTCAATGTCATGCATAAGGGTGTCACATTATTTTGAATAGTGGCTCTTATTTTCCATTAGCTCTTAATCCTCACAGCTGTAGCTATAGTTTCCTGCCATTTCTCTGATCCCCCTTGCCAAGGCTTTATGTCCTTTCTCCACAGGTTATGCCACGACTCAGACTTATTGGATGCCTGTTAATGAAAGAGAAGGGTTGATACTTGCCCAAACATTGCATGACGGTCCATAGATTGTAAACCAAGATGGCCGCTGGGGATACTGCTCCTTTGGGAGGCATCTTCACTAATGTACAGCAGGTAATTTAAAAAAAAATGCTGAAAAGGTTGGTTTTCAATCATTGCAAAAATGGAAAACTATGAAAACTGGAAATTAGGAAAAGTTGTTGAAATACAAGCATTTTAGCTAGAAATCATTCTTATTCTTCCCAGTCCAAGCACTATGTTAGACTAATAGTTCATTACTCCCATAATTAAAAAATGCCACTCAATGTTTTTTCTGTCCTATGGCACTTTAAAGATTTGGAAGTCTTGAAAATATTGTGGCACTTTAAAGCCTAACCAGATATCTTGAGCAATTACTTTAGCTTAGTACAGAGTTGTTGAGTCTTTATAATGCCATAAGACTTTAAATTGATTTTTCTTGCAACAGATTAACAATTTACTCTCTGGAAGTCAGTACCAACGTTTTGTCTTTTTCATATTCAGAAGAGAGATATTGAAAATAAACAGGAAAAGGCTTTATCATCTTCTAGCCTGCAATCATCTGCATTCCCTGAAAGCCTTCCTTAGAGAGTAGAGGATTCCCTTAAACAGTGTGCTGAGGAGATTTTGGGGAGAGAAATGTGCAGTATAATATTTAAGGTGCAATTAAGGTAGTGGAAATCTACATTCATAATAAAAAAGGTTCACTAGATAACTTTGGGCCAGTTGCTGTCTCTCCTCCACTTGACATGGCAGGGTTATGGAAAGGATAAAACTGGGGACAGAGTGATATGTGTACTGCTTTAAAGTGTGGTAAGAAATTATGGAATACAAATCTAATAAATAGTAGTCTAATAGAGTGGACCTCAGTCTGGTTTTTGGTGATTCTTCTCATTCTACATTGTTTAGGAGGTACACTTGACCATCAGAGAGATTTTCAGACACTACAGATAACTGCAGGAAAGAGGAGGACACTTCTTTCTAATTCTAAATTTACATTGGTGTGGCATTTCAAAGACCACAAAGATTAACCTTCTGTGAACAGATAATTTCATATAATTAGCTGCATTGTATAGAATTCTATACTGTCTGTCTCATTACTATTATTTTATAATAAAATAGTGCTATTACATACAAAACAGTTGGGGGAAAGTGGTTATCACGCTATATAATGTTGATCTGTTACTAATAGGTCAACTATTAATCTACAGTTTAATTCAAGTCAGTAACAGGTAACTTCTTGGAAGGGTAGGTCAATCTGCAACTATGTTACCCTCTTGCTATGCTTACAAAATTTCCCCAAGTGAACAGGTAATGGAATGTATTTTGTGATATATAATTCAAAAATGGATCTTACATATTTTTGACATATAAATTTTGAATTTGAAAAATATACTTCTATAAGAAATAGTTGACCTTTGCTTCACTTTTAGTCCCCAAATGAAATCCTCTAAATGAAACATTAAGACATAATTTATGATATTTGGAATCTCTAGTTCTATGGGCTTTCTGTAATTTTCCATAAAAAAGAAATTTGATGCTGTATTAGCCCTGTGCCGTACACCAAAAGCAAATTGACTATTTACTGATAGGCTGCTTCAAAAGCCATCAGATATACTATTACAGAGCAGTGTTGAATGTCTAAAATAATGGGCCGAGGGGTTGAAATCTGTATGTCCTTACTTACAATCATGTTATTTCTAAGGATATAACTACTCAGTTTGCTCTAAAATATCCTTTACATCCCATCATAATTTATACATAATAGGAATTAGTTTTGTCACGAAAAATGTATTCCAGGCTGAAACTGGAATTTAATTTCAATTAACAGAGAATTCCTGGTATTGTAAACACAAACAAATCTATAACAGCATCTAGTAAGCTTTCACAAACAACACTTCAGTTCTTTGATGTCACCCAAAATTATGCCGTAATAAAAGTGTCACTCTTTGAAATGGCACAGAACTCTGTGTTTACTTTTATGGCAAGAAATTAACCAAGCTTCATCCGTGGAAATTATCTCTAAAATGTGCAGCAATTGCTTTTCTTTTGTGGCAGTGATGCAGAAACTCACCTGTTCAGAAAACAGAAGGGCAGAGTCCTATGAAGGTCTTTCTCTGAAGCTAAATGTTTCTAGCTAAGACCTGTTTTGCTTTCTCTGATTCAGCAAAGATCTGCCATCGCTGGGCCTACTGTGTTTCCATAGCAACCGAGGAGTCCACAACAGCTTGGCACCAGCATTTCAGGCTAAATTGACAGGATTTTTTTTTTTTACCAGTGGCTGGAGCTAAAGATCTGAAAGAGCCCAAACTGAGAGAGCTCCCAGGATTAAACTTTCATGATTGTTACTTCCTGTCCTCTTTTCAGTTTATATCCTTGTGGCCGGGGGTGTGAGGAAATTATAGAAACAAAAAAAAAAAAGGGGGGGGGGAGAATTTGGGCTAGAGCAGAAGATAAGCTTTAATATCTAGGCCCGGTGGTAAAGACTTGGAAAGGAATTGGACAAGATGGAGAAAAAAACCTTCAGGTCTTAGAAAGGCTCTGTAGGCAGCTATTGGGATGCCCCCAGTTGATGTAATGTGGAGTACAGTGAACTACGTACATTGTATATATTCCTCTTCCAGTTGTATATTCTGGGGTCAATCCACATGTGCTATCCCTACTTGCTTCCCTGACAGAGGTGGAAGATGCCAGGCTCTCCCTCTTTCTGGAGGGGGATGGAAAGGAACTTGACAGTTTAAATACCAGATTTACTTCTACTCACCCTGAAGAGAGTGGAGAATGACTATGGTGAAGGAAGGTCTGGAACTGATAAATCCAGGCGCTGTCTACTCACTTTTACAGTTTGGGGATATTTGGACAGACGTCTGAGCAGCCAGCTGTGCTAGAGTCCTACTCTGGGGATGAAGGAAAACAAGGTTAGAACAGTCAAACGAAGGGTTCAAGTTTGAAATTGGGATTGGGATCAACAATCCTTCACTGTCCTCTTAGTTCTACTGTTTTGAGGTTGAACAGTAGGGAAATATGATTGAGGGCGCTATTTGAGGAAAGCAGGCAAAGAGAGGGGATTGTATGGTATTGAGACATTTCTTTGTTTTGCTGATGATATTATTGACTGATGTGCAGGATGGCGGGGATGATGAGGCAGCCTTTCCTGGCACGGAGGATGATGATGAATTGGACAAGACCTTGGGTGTTGAACGGTTTGGAGACCTGATCAGCAAGTCTGCATTACGAGACCAGGAAAAGCAAGGCCGCAGCTACTCTGAGACCGACTTTGAATGTAGGTAAATCTTGTACGCTAGTCCTACCTTACAATCTGACCATAACCTTCAGAATGGAACAGTACTTAGTAATATGAAGACTTGTGCCGAAATACAACCTGTATGCTTTAAAGCAGATTAATGATTAGGTTACCCCACTATATTCTTCTAAACAATGTATAAAGGAATGTAGCATACAGTGTACCCATCCTGATTAAAACTAAAACATTTAACATTTAAACAAATGTTAAACTTTGAAACTATAAGAAGCTGGTGTTAAGAATCTGAGATTGTGGAACTTTGATTATGATGCAGATCTGTACATGTTTTAGCCCTAAAAGTTATGTGGTAAATCTTAAATATTGGCAATGAAATCGGATCTCAAAAAAAAGAACTGTTTGAGAATGCAAGTTTTATTTGGCATTTAAGCTACTATTATATTTTATTAGACAATAATGGTACAAAATATTTTTGTGGATTTGCTCTGTATTTTAGACCTTCCTATCTTACAATCAGCATTTTTTCTGTCTTACTGAGAGACAGACAAGCATATCTATAATTATATTTATAGGAGACATGACCTTGGAACAACTAGACTGGCCATAAAAGCTGAAAAATACTGTGAGTTTGGGATTTTTTACCTTATGTTTAGCTTTATCCTGATCCCAAGGTTGATTTTAAATTAGTTTGATAATTATGTAAAAAACCATTAATATGGAACACATTTGATTCTAGAAATGTTCATGCTAGAAAAAGGGAAGATCTATTTTCATTTCCATCCTGTTTCTTATTGCTACAGACATAGGCATGTGCGTAGGCTGCTAATGCACACAGAACTCCAGATCTATTGACGGTTAGCATTTAGCTGTGTAACCTCATCAAACTGAATCTCACAGAGTTTGATTAGAACAAAACTTGCAATTATTTAAACTATTTACCACAAAACTCATTTCTCTCTCCTAAATCTTGCAACATGGATATATTGGAATAAAACTATTGATTTCTACTTTTGCTGTTATAAGCTGCCTCAGAATTTCTTCCTTACTACAGTGTTCCCATGGATCATCAAAATCAGGAAATAGTCCATTTCATTTAATTTTTATAGTATTAAGACAAGCAATGACACAATGTTTTTTAAATAAATTGTCAAGAAAAAAAGACCCGCAAAGAAGAAATGAAGGCATCCATATGTGCAATATCTGAAAATAAAGAAAAAGTTCAATAGTGAAGGAACAATCCCTAAAAGGAAAATGTAGGAACTGGGAAAGTTTCCCTGCATGGATAGGAAGGCAGGAAGGAGAGGAATGATCGGTCAGGATATGCAATGGCTATCATTCAGACTGAGAGTTAATGTGGTTTCATTGCCAAGCCACTTCAATCCAGAATGGTCAACCGTAGCAATAGCAGGTTAAGCTGCCATGCAGGAATACATTAACTTGCCATCTGGAATTGACCATAGTTCCAAGCACAAATGACTGCTAATAGGGAAAAATAATTTTAAATATATATATTCATGGGAGATGGGCATGTATTTGTCCTATCAAAATCCTCCTTACTTAATTAATCACATTATTCTTTGTGATGTGGCCAACTTGCTTTAATTTGATGCTCTCCATATTGCTTATCCTGGAAAGGATTATGCTGTCTGGGTTGACTGGAAATTCTGGAAGCATCAGATAGGGAAGCAATACATAGTTCTGAACATTGTCACATTGTTGCACTTACTGTGCTTTTATCCTTCTTCCAGTTAAATTATTTTGAATCTCGGCATCATTACACAGTAATTTTACTTATATCATAATGCTGATTATTGCATGTCAAAATTCTATATTTCCAAATGAAAAATTTACCTGTGACTTTTATTTATTTAAAAAAATACAGCCCTTATCCATGCTAGCATGTTACTTATATTGTCAGGTTCTAGAGCTGATGTGATATATTCATTGCTATTAAGCTGCACATAAGAGTCCTTGAAATCTGATGAGCAGGCATTCATGATTTCTAAATTATATCTGATCCCTTTGCTAAAGAAATTAGAAGAAATAGCAGTTACAGTGACAGACTTATTTTGCATTCATTTTTTGACTGACATTTTTAATCTCTTCAAGATGATTGTGATATACCGTATTAAGAATGGCAATAATTTTAAGATTTGAATCCCTAAGGAGATTTCTTCTTTAAAAAAAAAACATTTATATTCTGCCTTTCCCCCCAGGAGCTCCTCAAAGTGTGTGCATAATACTTCTTCTTCCAGGGAGTCTCCAGAAATAATTTCAGTAGTCTGCCATTAATCAAATTCAATCTTCTGATACAGCTAAATCAGCTCAAATGGGAAATTTTTAGCTTTCTGCCAGGAGCTATATTTTAAGTCAAACTCCAGAAATAATAGAAGAGAAGGTCTTTGGATCTTCTTAACCAAAGCCCAGAAATACAACACTTAACCTTGGGAAGATCCTGTGAACTAAAGTTATAGATATTCAGTTCTGTAGTCTTACACAAAATGGCAGTTGGTCTTACCTGAACTGCATGTTTCAAAGAAGGTGTGGGAGGAGTAACACATGGGTATTAACCCAGCCCTTTTGCCCTGGAGACTGAGGTAAACTTTGAGGCTACACCTCCGTTCCTCCTTCTGACCTCCCAGATTAACCGATGGATCATAGCAGAGCACCTGGAAGGAAGGAACAAAGACAGTGCAAGCACATATCCTTCCAGCCTGGCCCTGACTGACTACTGAACTGACCCAGGCCCCTGGCGCGGTGTGCCCTNGTCAGCATATTGCCCCCACAGTCTGGGTCCTCATTTCACCCACCTCGGAAGGATGGAAGGCTGAGTCAACCTTGAGCCGGTGAGATTTGAACTGCTGAACTGCAGATAACCGTCAGCTGAAGTGGCCTGCAGTACTGCACCCTAACCACCTCGGCTCTTAAGGTGACAGGCAAAAAAACAGAGCATGTTATCCAATAATATTTATAACTTTACTTGAGTGGTTCTTTTAAGGTGACCTATGGCACTTATAGCAACTAAGTCCCTTTGGGTGACTCAAGAAGCAACTGGGCTTTCTATGTTTTTTCCTTGAAGATGTTTTACTTCTCATCCAAAATTGAAAAAGCTTCTTGAATGAGAAGCAAAATGTTTTGAACAAAAAAAAGTAAAAAAGTCCAGTTATCTTTTGAAACAAACCTTTGAAACAACCATGATCTGGATGAACAAGAATCTCCATAGACATACAACAGCTAAGTAAGGCCTGATTGTCCTGATCAAATAATTCTAGCAATTGCAGTCCCTTGGCCTTTTCAGAAGTTGTTGAGCACTCCCAGAACCTGAAGTGCCATTCCATCAATCAAAGGGATGGTTTGCATCACAGAGATTAGAAGGAACTCTAGAGATCACCTGCCCACAAGGATAGGATCCTGAAGAATACCTTGGGAACGTCAGAAGATCCTTCCAGGACCATGTCCATACTCTTTCCTGGGGCCAGTTCCATTCTCAGTGGCTGAAGCTTGAACACAGGACCTTGAGATTCTGTCTTTGAGGGGATGGTCTGGCTCTTGGTGTTGTTGCTGATGGCAGGGAGTGTGTTGTGCTGGCGAAATGGGGCAAAACCTTCAGTCATCCAATAAAGCTGATGGGTGCGACGCCCACAGTTGGTGATCTTGAAACGATAGCAGCAGGGATCCAAACTAGCAAAGTGACAGAAGGCAGGCCTATTATACAATTCCATTTCAAAGGAAGCAACCAGATGCAAAATACAGCAAACAAATAAATTAAAGACAAGATACAAGAGAAAGAAAATCTAGTTTACACTAATACCACTTACCAAAAATAATTCTAACCTTGCCTATGTCAACTTCGAAACAGATCCAGGCTGCCACAACCATCTTTTTATTTCTCAGCTTGCCACACGGTAAGGGGGTGGGGGGCAGGGAAGAAGCTTGGAATGTCAGACCAGACAATAACAACAGATTGTCCCATGAGGATGGCAGTTGGTCTTACCTGAACTGCATGTTTCAAAGAAGGCGTGGGAGGAGTAACACATGGGTATTAACCCAACCCTTTTGCCCTGGAGACTGAAGTAATTCTTTGAGGCCACACCTCCGATCCTATTTCTGACCTACCAGATTAACCGATGGATCGTAGCAGAGCACCTGAAAGGAAGAACAAAGACAGTGCAAGCACATATCCTTCCAGCCTGGCCCTGACTGACCACTGAACTGACTTAGGCCGCTGGCGCGGTACACCCTAAAAGGGGGGAAGTGACTCCTCCCACGCCTTCTTTGAAACATGCAGTTCAGGTAAGACCAACTGCCAGTTTCCAAAGTGAGGCATGGGAGGAGTAACACATGGGACATACCAAAGCAAGATGTCCTAGGGAGGGATCAATGGGCCTGAGCCCCTCGAGAGTCTAGGATTCCCTGTAGAACCCTCCTGCCAAAGGCTGCTTCTGCAGAGGCGTAAGCATCTAACCGGTAATGCCTAATGAAAGGCGAGGGAGAAGACCAGGTGGCAGCCCGGCAGATCTCCTCTATGGGGGCCTGGGTGGCCCAGGCTGCTGAGGTGCTGTGATGCCCCCTGGGACCTGAAGTCCCCGTGCCTTGTAGGCCTGTGAGATGGCCGCCCTGATCCACCTGCTAATGGTGGCCGGAGAAACCTTGGCACCTCTGGTGGACGGTTGATATGATACAAAGAGGGCTTCTGAACGCCTAAAGGGTGCCGTGCGCTTCAGGTAGATGCGCAAGGCTCTTCTGACGTCCAACCTGTGCCAGGATCTTTCCCTATCCCTGGAGGGCTGCAGACAGAAGTCTGGCAGAAATATCTCTAGAGCCCTGTGGAAGGGAGAATTTACCTTGGGCATGAACGCGGGGTCCAGTCTGAGGATGACCCAGTTGTCTAGAAAGGTGCAGAGGTTCGCTCTGCTGGACAGAGCGTTGATCTCGGATACTCTCCTGGCTGAGGTGATGGCAACCAGGAAAACAACCTTAA